AAACCGTTAAAAGAATTACTGCCCAATTAAAAAGAGTCAACCCTCTGACACCGCGTCTAATAGTTGCAACCTAAAAAGATTGCACGTTAACAATACAAATTGTGAAACTTTTAAAGAATTGCTAAGGTTCATAATAAAATTGCAGATTTTTATAGATTTTTTTTAAAATTTACATATAATTGAATTAAATTTATAGATTAATCTAAAATTTTCAGTTTAATTCAGATTTTTACCAGTTTATGATTCAGTTTAGATTTGGATTAGCATTTTTAAAATTAATAATTTGAATCAAACTAAACTGAACCATTTAGAGCATTAATGTAATATATATATATATATATATAATTTTTTAACTTTTATATATTAAAATTATTATTTTATATAATTTTATATACTGTATTTTTCTGAAATAGAAACTTCCAAAAATAAGTAATACTTATTTTATATTAGTTCTAAAAAAGCAATACTTCAGAAAAATTAAATATTTTTTTAATTAAATAAATAAATTATTTAGCTTTATGAATATATTATAAATAGATTTAATTTTTTATTTTATTATTACAATAAAAAAAAATATTATGAAATTACAAATTATTAGTGTTTAATTAAAAATATATAAAATTGTCTACCAAATTATTTTTATGAAAAAATTAATCTATAATGTCAATAATATCATAGTGATATTCATCATTATCATAATTATTAATATTATTATCATCATAATTATTAACATTTTATTAACATGCTCATTAATTTATCATCATTATATTTATTAATATTATCATTATTAATATTATTTGAATTCAAATTATTAAAATATTATATATTTTAAAGAACAATAATTATATCAGTAGAAATACCTTTCTATAAATATTTTAAACATTTTACCTATAAATATATATTATCAAGCTTTGTATGATAAAGATTTTTTAAAGTAATTTCTTCAGTATTATTATTTACTATTTAAGAGTATTACTTTTTTTACAGGTTATTCTTAAATAGTTTATTAATAAAAATATTAAGTGGTTGATATTTACTTGTCTATTTGCTTGAGATTATTATGAAATAAATTTTATTTGTATAAAATCTTTTTTAATTAAATCTTTTAGATGACTTTTAAAAGAATTATATATAAATATTATCAATTTTTCTTATGTCCTATTTTATATTCTTATTTATTAAGATAATTTATATATTTATATATTAAACTAGTATTCATTTAATTATTATTTTGAAATTAAATGATAATTTTAAAGGTATTTTTTTTTTACATAAAATTTATTTTTTTTTAAATATAATTAAAAGAAAATTTAAATCCATTTATTGTAAGATTTAAAAAAATAAAAGACTGTTAAATAAAAAATAATTAAAAATTTTAAAAAAAAAAAAATTTAAGAAAAATAGTAAAAAAAAAGCAAAAAAAAAAATAATAAATAAAATCTATAATACATCTAAGAACTATTATAAATTAGTTCTTTTATTTTTATAGCTTAAATATAAATTATTTTTTCTCTCTTAGAGTTAATCATATAAATATCAGTTATATTAAATTAGACTGGTATTTTATTCATATTAAGGATTTTTTTTAATTCAAATAATTTTTCAATTCTTAAATTTTTAATAAACTAGTAAAATTTTCTAGTTATTTCTAAGTTTTTATCAGGAAGTTTTTGAGAAATTCTGATTTATTTATGTAATATTAAATTGAATTTTTTCATAAAACCTAATATTTAATGTTAAAATATTTTAAAGTTTTTTAAATTTTTATAAAAAACTATTATTTTAAGTTCTTTAAGATTTTTAATGATTTATTTTTTATTGTTAAATAAGTTAATGCAAAATCTTATTTTTTTTTATTATATAATCTAAATATAAAGTTTTTTTTTTACTTCTGAAATATTGCTTTTCTATTAAAACTAATCTGTTTATTTTTCTTCTTTATTTAACTTGTCTATTTTAAACTTATACTTATCTAATGATTTATTATATTATGATTAATATTAAAGTATTATGCTATTTAGTTATTTTCATTGTATTTTATATAAATAATAACTTTTTTTTTATATTTAACTAAGTATGAATTTCATATTTATTTTACAATTTTAACCTTATATCTAATAGTTTTAATAATTCTCTTTCATTTTATTATTTATATAAAATAAAATATATTTAAAATCTATTTTGTTGTATTATAAAATAAATTATAAATAAATTTAATTAACAAAAATTATATGATTTGATAATACAATTTTTATATAAATTTTTTATTTTGAATTTTATTATTAAACTAAAAAATTTTTGTAATTATATTATTAAAAATATATAGTTTATAATAAATCTAAAAATAAAAATCACTTTATTTATTTATTTTAAAAAATAAACTAATTAATTATATTTAATATGTTATTTTAGATATATAATATAAATTTTATATTATCTTATTAAAATATTAGTATTTATTAATTTTAATTAGAATTTTACTAATTGTAATTAGTATTTTATTTTTTATAATTTTTTTAATATTTTTTATTTTCTATTATTTAAATAAAAAAACATATTTTTATAAATTATAAAGTTTTTTTTAAATAAATTTGATGTATTTAATTTATAAATTTATTTAAATAAATAATAAAAAAGTAATAAATTTTTTAAATACAATTAATTTAATATTAAAAAATTTATTTTTAAATTCAATTATAATAATTTTTTTTATTAATTACTAAATAATATAAATTTATTATTACATAAATAATTAATATTTAAAATTTTGTAATTTTAATCTTAAAATTATTATTAATAATAATTTTTAACTAATATTATTTTTTTTATATAAATATTATAATTATTGATTTTTTACTTAATTTATAAATTATTAAAATATTTATATAATAAATATAAAATAAATATTATTTTATATTGATAATTAAAGTTAAATTTTATCTTATTACTTTTATAATTACTTATTATAAAAATAAAACTAATAAATGAAATAATAATTGTTAATTAAATATAATTAAGCATTTACAATCGGAGGTTTATTATTGGCTAATCGTTTATAGTGATACATACTAATTCGGGATGATTAATCAACCAACTGATTCATATTTCAGCCAATAAAGAATACTACGTTAACAATACCCAATATTAAGTTTTATGAGCCAAAAGCCTCTTTCAACCTATCAGCTAAAAATTTTCTCTCTTTTTTTAAGAAAAAAAAAAATTTTTTTTTTTTTAGCTTTTCACCGTAGATTAATAAAAAAAAAAAAAATGACAGCTAAAGAAGTTATAGAATTCGAAAGAAAGTTACATGAACTTCTCGAGAGAAAGCCCCCTGGGATTAGTGCGTCGAAAATCAAAGATCTAACGAGAATCGCAATGACTAGTCCAAAGGTGAGAAATAATCTTAGCTGGTAGAGGGTTTTTTTATATCCTTGCAAGAAAAAAAAAAATGAGGTCAAGTTATTGTAATAACAACAACGTAAAAGTAAAGTACGAAACACACTAGTTATATAGTAAAGTTAAACATTTTTATTCGGATTGTAGTAAGAAAATCACGAATAGTCTTCAAATAAAACTCCTGTGCTTTATAGTGCGAGAGTTTTAGTGAGTTGTTTATTGACTCTCTTATTTTGAAATAAAAAATATTCTTACAAGTCGTAAAATAAGTTAACTTTGGTATAAATTTGTAATTAATAATTATGTATAACATCAGAAGATAAATGGGGAAAAAAAAATTATAAAGCAATACATTAACATCATAAAAACCTCTAAAATAAATCCTAAAATTTTGTCTTCTTATTCTCTGCACCCGATACAACAAAATATCGCTGAAAATTTCAGCAATATAAAAATATTGTATACAGCGTACAGAAATTCATTCAGAGATGCTCGGTCGATTACAAATTGGGTGCATTATATGTTCTAGATTCAATATCACAGGCGGCAGCAAGACAAAAATCTTTAGTAGCAGAAAAAGATGATATTAACTCTTCTGGTTGGTCAGGCGCTGAATATCTTGAAAGATTCGAAAAAGTGTTGGAAGAAATGTTTTCAAACATAATGCAATGTCCAGAATATGATAAGGTATGGATCACGTGCAGAAGACATTATTTTACTTTTCTTTTTTCATCATTAGTACGTAGAGACCAAATTGCAGAGTTCGTGTAAAAAAAGAAAAAAAAAAAAAGAATGATAATTTAATTCTTTCACTTTCGAATCTTTAAATTATCTTCCTAATAATAAAATCATAATATATAGTTCATGTCAAATTCTCAGACTTTTCTTTCATGTATCTTAATGTTCAATGTTGATAATTGTAAATGTTATCGCGTTGACTGTAATTAGTATATTATTAATTATATTTTATTGGTATAAAGTTATCTTTTGTGATATTAATTAAAATTAACTCGTATATATAATAAAATATAGGATAAAGTGAAACGTGTTCTAGATATATGGATTAGCAAAGATGCTGGTATTTATAGCAAAGAGGTACTACAAAAAATAAAAGAAGCCCATTTTCAACAAAGAACAACGACGGATGATGTTCGATCGTTAAATGGAGGCGACCACCGCATTGGAAATGCGTCATGTAATGTGTCTCATAAATTATAGCATTGACAATATTGATTCAATCGAAAGGTTTTGTTTCCAGGAAACATTGATTAACCTTTTGTCATTAATTAATACTTTAGATCCAACAACTTTAAATCCATCATCGCTTGATTCTTCAGCACTATTAGCCACCTTGAATAATCTTACGCAAGGAACTTTGAATATTCCATCATTTTTATCTTCACAGCAGATAAATTCCGTTCCTATACAACCAAATTCGACAATTCCTTATAATAGTCATGCCACAATGCCAGCGACTAGTAGTTCCCAATTTACAAATATTAATTTACCACCTTCGTCGACGAGTACATCCAACCATCGACCTTCAATGCCTACATCAACTTCAATGAATAATGGATATACGCGATCTCCAGTTTCGTCTTATAATCAAAATGTTAATTTGAAAGGAAACAAACCTATGCATGATTCTTTTGATTTCGATTATGGAGACATGGATGAAGCAGATGATATCGGGTTAATGCCCCGTGTACAAAATAATGATAAAAACAATGCTGAGAAATCGTTGATTAACAATGTGCTGTCTGTTAATGCGTAAGTAAATGATTAATTTCTTAAAATAATGTCATTTATTTATTTAGTGTGCATCTTTAACGATCATCAAGATTCTTTGAGTTTCTCCTTTGGTTACCTTTCACCCTTTCATATATAGTTTGCAACCTTTTTTTTTATTTATTCGAAATTAACACAGAAAGGAGGTTTTTTTTTTTTATTTTTTTTTTTTTTTTTAGAAAATCCATATTAAACTAACTGCAATCAAAATAAGCACGAATTTAATTAATCTCCAGTAAACTTTTTTTTTTTTAAAAAAAAAAATAATCGCCAATAAACATTTATTTATTCTTATTTGGAGTTTTTTCTTTCTCTTCCTTCTCTTTTTATTGAATCATTACATATAATTCGTAAAGTCATTAAAAAAAAAAAGCTCTTTAAAACCTGTTCTTTTTAAGTCGCACGTGATCCTGATTTGGGCGAATTTAGTTTAGTTAATGAATAATTATATTAAAGCCATTTATAGCATCAATTATCAAATATCCTTCAAAATAATCATTTGATGATAATCAATATTAAAATATCCAATTGTTTCTTTTCTTTTTTTAATGCTATTTACGAATTTAGAGTTCAAGCGACAACAAGCGCAGCTTCAACTGCACCAATATCACAATTTAATCAAGATCAATTCAGTCTGATGGCAAATCAATTATTTACTCCCTCGCAAAATGCACCTTCAATCTCAGTAACACAATCACAAATTCCACCGCAACAAATTCAACAGCCTTCTGCGGTACCAAACACGACAAATATGCCATCAATTCCACCGTTTCAATTTCCACCACCACCACAGAATTGGGTCGCTCCCGGTCAACCACCACAAATTTCATCTAGTGGTATGCCACCACTTCCAGAACATTACCAACCCCCGCCACCTTTTCCCTTACCTCTTTGGTCAAATCAACAAAATGTTCTTCCACCTCAACAATGGAATCCTAATGGTCCTCCTCAATCGAATGGATCACAATTTCCTCCTAATCAAACTTCCGGTCAACAACAAAATCCTGTTCCTTTCCAAGGTAATCCACCACCACCAGGTTTTCCGGCCCAACCTTCGGTTCCGATTTCCGGACAGCCGCTGCCTGCTCCCCCCGGCCATCACGTGCCACCCCCCGGCCAACCATTACTAGGTCATCCGATGACACCACAAGGTCAACCACCAATTATAACACATAATGTTCCAGGATCACAATCCGGACAACAATTACCTCCTCCAGGACATCAATTACCTCCTCCTGGGCATCATATTCCTCAACCACCGGGACAAACTACTCCAAATCAACAACAGATTCATCCAAATCAACCTTTACAAACACCGCCTCAGCAACCACCACAAGGTGGCGATGTTTGTGTCGTATATGAAGATCAAAGCGTCGGAAGGGATTTCATTAAAGGTAATTAGTGACGTGTATAAGAAATTTTTTTTTTATCGATCATAAATTATAATTTTGAAATTATTTCATTTGTTTATTCATTTGAAGTGTTGAGTCGAACGCTTTATGTTGGAAGCGTTATGGAGCATATGTCTAAACAATATATTGAAGATATATTTGCTAAACACGGTCCGGTATCAACTGTTACGGTATGAATTTAATTTAATTGAAAGTTACTTTTAATATAATATTTTCCGTTTAAATTAAAATAATAATAATGATGATGTTTAGCTTAACTATGATAAAAATCATGGATTCGTAAAATTGGAAACACGAGCAGCAGCTGCAAGAGCCCTTCGAGGTGTTCGGATGAAAGTGAGATCCTTAAAGGTTTATAAAATTATCGTAAACCTAATCTTTCTGTTTTGTTAAAATAAGAAATTCTATTTATTAATTTTATTTCTCAATTTTACAGGTACGATTTTTTGGACCAAAAGATTGTTTTGAATTTCCATCAGGAGATTCTTTAATTCCACTTAATAGATTAACTGAAACGGATAGAAAGTGGTTGGTTACAAGCAAATGTGGTGGTACGGGAGGTAGGTGGTGTTGTTGTTGAAGAACCTGATATAATAATTGGGGAAGGATTTTCAAGTGGATCAGCAAATAAAAAAATAGGACCGTTATTTGAAAGTCCAGGACATCGCAATAGAAGAGATAGAGATCGAGACCGGGATCGGGATGGTTATGACAGAGATGATAGATCACGTCGTTCGTCAGAATCGAGGAAGTTTTCTGATGCTTCATGGGAAGGTTCAGCTTCACCCAGAAGACGATCTTCGTATAATTCGGAATCAAATCTTCCTCTCCGAAATTCTTGGTCAGAGAAAGTGCAAAATGCAGCAGATCAAAAATATTCTCCCGAGAATCCGTTACAGCAACCAATGTATACTTTTCCACTCATACAACCTTCTACAAATCCACCAACAAGCATGGACTCAAATCGACAAACTCCTCCACAACAACCTACAGATATTAATACAAATATTTCAACTAATACACAACAACAGCCTCAAGATAATTATAATAATAATTTTAATCAAAGAAACGAAATATCATCCCCACCACATTCTTTATCTGGTAAAAAACGAGAACTAGAACAATATAGTGCCGATAGAGATGATGAACATTATCGTGAAAATAAAAAAACGAGATGGGATTAATTACGTAATTGCCGCATTTATAAAAGACAATTCTTTATATATTTCTAATGGGAAATAGAATTCACGTTTAAATATAAAATTTTTTTTTTCTTTATATATATATTTGTTGAAATTTGCAAGAAATTTAGGCCATTTGTATTTAAAAGTACGGAATTAAAAAAAAAAAAAAAAAAATATTAGTTTTTTTAAAAAAAAATCATTACTATAAAACTTCAGTATATAAATTTAGAATCTTATTTTACTTATTCATTTACGCAACAGATAGGAACTTGAAGTAACCCCCCTTTTTTGTTTGCTAAACCTTTCTGAATATATATATATATATAATTTTTTTTCAAATTTTAAAATATCATGTTTATATACTTTACCAAGAAAAAGAAAAAAAATAAAATTAAATAAAACTCATTATTTTTTGTTTTATCTTTTGATTGCAATTGTAACGTTTTCATTAATATTAATAAATTAAATTTTAAAATAACTTAATTTAATTAATTTAATTAAAACATATACTATAATAATTATATTTTTTATAATTAATTTTATAATTTAATAAAATTTATCTATATTAAATTTTTATAGTTTAATTATTTTTATTTAATTTAATTAAACAGATTAAAAATGAAGAAGAAATAAAAAAAAAAATAATATTTGAAATAATATTAATAAAGAATTATATGAAAAAGAAATAAATAAAAGATAGCTAAAAAAACAATTGAATGGAGGTCTAAAAAATAAAGAGAAAAAAGAGAAGAAAATGGGATAAAAAATTAATAAAAAATAAGAAGAAATAATTAAAGAATAAAGATGAAAAAAAATAAACAAAAAACAATAATGAAAATAATAATAAAAATAATATCAAGAATAATCATGAAAATAATAATGAAAATAATACTAAAAATAATAATAAAAAATAACAAAGAAAAATAAAAATGAGGTTAATGCTGAATTAATTCATAATTGCTGGTATTACACAAAAATTCTTCCCGATGAAAATGTAGATTTGAGAAATATTTTAGAGGATAAGAACTTAGTTCTTAATGATCTTATGGATGCACTTCAAGCTCTTAATTTTCCTCATCCAATGCAGGCGGAAGAGTTTTTTAATATACCCAAAGAAAATATTGTTTATAAAATTCTCAAAGATAATCAAATTATTAAAGAGCTTGTATATCTCTTTAAGGATATTGACAAGAAAAATGTAGATTTAGAAGAAATGGATGATAGTAATAAAATTCCTATTGTTAGTATTAGTGAAGTAATTTCTAGTTTAAAAACTATATGTATATTTCTACTTTAATAGAATAATACAGAAGAATATATGAAATTGGTAGAAAAAATAGAAAAGTTTTTAGGATCAAAAAGACAAACTTTACAAGGCAAACTGAAATTAGCACCTATTTACATTAAATTTCTGAAAGTGTGTTATTTTTTTGATTAAATAAATAAAGTTTTGTCAAATTATAATTGTGTAATAATATCTTTTTTTATTAGCTATTCTTTAAGTGCACATCCTCCTTAAGTGCATAAGCGTGACCTCACTTCAGATGCGTGCATTTAAAGAGATGATACTGTATATTATATGCTAATGTAATATTTTAATTAGATTAAAGAATCACAAATTTTTAATAGTACTAAATAAAATATTAAACATTATAAATGCCTTAGTAATAATATGATCGATTTTATCAATTTTTCCTTTTTTTAATTTTTTGGTTTAAAAAAATTAAACATTGCTATTTGTTTGTATTTTTTAATAAGAGGTTTATTTAATTCACTTAATATATATTTATCTTCAATATTATGCTTTTTTTATCTTTTCCTATAATACTTACATAATATAATCCAAGTTCTTTAGGATATGTTTTATAATAATTAGCTAAATGTATTTGAAGAATATAATGATAAGGTTTTCTATATTTCTAATATAATTCACAATTATTATAAGTTTCTGAATAATATTCTTTGATTGTTTAAAACCCTTTATATATGATTCCAAATTTTTAAAAAATGGTTGTCTATCTCTTTTAAGATTATAAGTTATATCAGAGTTTGCTGTTATTTTAAAAGATATTATTGATATTATAATATTATAACTATTAAAGCAAGTTAAAAGTAAACTAATATGTATATAAACTAAAAAAGCTAAAGTAAAAATAAGTTTAAGAAAGCTAGGAGAAATTAAAGAAAACCAAAAAAAAATCAAAAAAAAATTTTAAAAAAAACAAAATAATTTTGTAAAATAATTTAAAAGTAAATTTGTAAAAATATTAGTAAATTTACATGAAGATTTATAGTATATTATAAAATTAAATATATATTTACTTTTAAAAATTTTACTTAAAAAACTTAAGCATGTTTTTTTCTTAAAGAATTAAAACATTTTTTTTCTTAAAAATTATAAAAAGAAAAATGTTTATTTAAATGTTATTTATTAGAAAATATTTATATTATTTATTATACTACTAAGTATTATTAACATTATCATATGAATTATTAAACTACCAAAAATCTTGATTAACATTATATAATTTATTTAATTTTAATATAAATTTATAATATATAATTATTTGTGTAATACTATAATTACTTCATAATATAATAACAATACAATAATTAATATATTGTAGAATAATTATTATATTGCAGAATTATTATAAATTTGTATTATTACTATATTTATAAATTTTGTAATATTACAGATTTTAAAAATAGTAACAGATCTATTTTAACTAAAATATAGTTCTTTTTTATTTAAATTATCATTAAGAAGTATTATTCTATATTCTTTGTAATTTCCATATTTATATAATTTTAGATAAAAAAAAACATTAATTAATAAAAAATGATATATAACCTTAAATACATTTTTATAATGACTATTGTTATATTGATGATATTATTATATTAAGCTTAATTTTAACTTTATAAAATTAATTTATTAAAATTTTGTGTTATTATTATTATATACTGTTAACATTTATTATAACGAATTATCTATCTGAGCTGATCAAATTTTCATTATAAGAAAATTTATTATTATTATAATGAATAATTCATTATAATGAAATGTTATCTAATTAGACTAATTAAAGTAGTTTATATAATTATATATCAGCAGCAAGTAGTTTTTTTCACTTTTTTAATAACCACTTTAATTTTATTTTTTTTATAATAAAGTTGATTATTTTTTTAGTATTATATAGTAATTTTTATTTCAGTTAATGTAATATTGCAATTTTTTTATATCACAATTTTAATTTTTATTTTTTAATATTCTTCTCTTCTTCTTTTCTAGTTATTTTTATTTTTTTAAATTTTTTTTAAATGTTTTGTTTATTTTTTATTATTTTTATTTTTATTTTTTACCTATTGTTTTGTTTGTTTTTTTATTATTTTATTTTTACTTTTTTTTTTGTTTAATTCATTTTTTTTAGTTTATTTTAATTCATTACTTTCTTTCTTTTTCTTTTTTTTACTTATTTAATTTTGATTTTTTTATTCTTCACAATTTTAAATTTTTTCATGTGATTTTTATTCATGTAATTCTTTTTTTTAATTTTTATATATATTTTTAATTTTCATTTATTATTTTATTTTTTTTAAAATTTTTCTTCATTTTTTTTAATCTTCATTTTTAATTTTATTACTTCACCCTTTTCCTTTTCTCTTCTAATCTTTTTATTCTTTTAATTTTTTTATTTCCTGATCTTTTTTTTAATAAATTATCATTTTTATATTTATTATTTTTTTATTTTCATTTCTTTTTTGTTTTATTACTTTTTTTTAATTATTTTTTATTTTATTTCTTTATTTTTTCTAACTTTAACCTTAATCCTTTTTTATCTATAACAGACATACTACTATAAAATATTATTTTTTATTAGACATATATTATCTAATTTATAATTTGATATTCTAAATATTTTAATATTTTAATTACTTATCTATCTGTATTAGAAAAATCTTCTGCATTATTATATTCTAATAATGCTTCATATTTTTTATCTTAGATGCTTAATTTTTTTATATTATGCAAACTCTTATTACAAATATATTCAAAAATGTTTTATAGGAAAAGTGATAATAAGTCAAAAAAAAAAACTTAAAAAATTATCAAAAAGAATTTTTACATTAAAGCAAAAAATATACAATTATTATAAAAAAATAATACTATTATAAAAATGGTAAATCTTTAAAGAACTAATTTTATTAATCTAGTCAATTATTAAGAATATAAACCTCATTTTAGAATTAACCTATATAAAGTTAGGTATTAAGTTTATCATGAATTTAGCATATATACCTAAGTTTTTCACTATAAATTCAAATAAAAATACTGTATTACTAAATTACCTATTCTTTTAGACTCAAAAAAGCTAAAATTAAAAAAGAAGCTAAGCATTTAGACTATTATAAGAAATTTTGTGTTATAGGATTTTAAATAAAATGTTTACTATTTTCATTAAATTCATCTTCTGTTATTGATTCAACTACATTATTTCACTTTGTAAAAAATAATTTTCATCCATTATTTTCTTTATCTTCTAAATATTTTAAAAAATATAATTTGCAATTTTTTAGAATATTTTGCTAATATACCATAAACACAATAAATTTGCTAAATCTGAAAAATAATTTTAAGTATATTCATAAGAGCTAATTCTATATCTATTATAATAATATCAGATTTGATATTCTATTAAATAAATTGGTAATATAAGTTAAAGCCTATCAATAACTTCTTTTTCTTCACCTTTCATAAAAACAAAACAAGAATAAAGGTAATATTAAAATTGATAATACTAACAATATTTAATAAAGATATTTTAAATTCATAAGAAATATACAAAAATATTTACAAGTAAGAGTAACAGATTCATTATTTATAAAAAAAGATGAATTACATTATTCTAGTATTTTGTAAAATGAATCATAAAAATAAGCCTTTTACAAATTTTAAGAATGTATTTATTTATAGATGATTGATTTTATAATAGTAT